CTCAGTGGATATTTATGTTACAGCTTGGGTTATTATCCAGTATGACTTAATTTCATTGTTCATATTGTTCTAGCTTTGGCCATTTCAGTTGGCTCCTGTGTCGCTTTGACATACTCTTAATCATAGTGGGATTTTTGTTTTCTTTTTGAGTGCTTCCTTACTTTCTGGAATCACAAGCTGTTTTAGGTTCATTTTGTATGTTTCCTGCCCTGATTCCCAGAATTTGCCATTCTCCCAGGAGCCCTGGTTCATTTTAATGAGAAAGGGTAGTTAGAAACCAAGATCTAGGTACTAATTGTGATTTTTGCTACCGGAGTTTCACTGGTCTAGCCCCATCAGCAGAAAGATCTAGGAAATATATATCTATATAATATCCATGTATATATTCATGTATATGTATATATGCATATATGTATGTATATATAGTCATATATATATCTATATATCTACATTAAAAACTATGAGATAAAAATTATGTTCTCAAATTGAACGCATAATATAAGATTCATTCTAGCCTCCTACCTTTTCATATATTTAACTGTTACCTCTAACACTGACACACTTTGTTCCTTTATTCACATCTATATTGTGCCATCCTAGAATGCATCTAGAATACCCATTAAGTTGTTTTAGAATGGCTAAACTCATTCTACTGTGATAAAATACTAATTAGGATTCAATATTTGTTTTTAGTTATTTTGTCTTTAACCTGAATGTATAAACATATTTTATTCAAGAGTTACTTGGGTTAATTTATTCCCCCCCCCCCCAGTGTGGTTTAGATCATTCATTTGAAAAACAATAGGCCATGGGATTTCCCCCCATCCTTGTTCATGTTATTTTAGTTTAGTTTTTCAGATGTGAAATGTAAAAAAAGTTTAAGGTTTAAAACAGTGTCTTCAGTAAATAGTTTTGGGAATCTTGGACAGATATATGCAAAAAAATGAAAATAGACCTTACACCACACAAGAATAAACTCAAAATGGATTTAAGACTTCAGAGTTAGACTCTAAACTATAAAAAAATCCTGGAAGAAAACATAGGCAGTAACATCTCAGACATTTCTTGTAGCAATATTTTTTTTCTGATATGTTTCCTTGGGTAAGGTAAATCAAACAAACAAACAAACAAATAAATAAATGGTACTGCATCAAACTAAAAAGGTTTGCACAACAAAGGACATTGCCAAAAAAATGAGAAGACAACCCCCTGAACAGGAAAACGTATTAGCCAATGATACATCTGATAAGGATTAATATCCAAAATTATAAAGAACTTCTAAAACTCATCATCAAAAAATCAAACCATGTAAAGAATGGGCAAAGTACCTGAATAGACCCTTCTCTGAGGAGGAAATGCATATGGCCAATAGGCATATGAAAGATGCTCACCCTGGCCAATGTGGCTCAGTTGGTTGGGTGTCATCCCATGTGCCAATAGTCACTGGTTGGTCAGGGCACATGCCCGGGGCTGTGGGCTCAATCCCCAGTTAGTGGTGTGTGGGAGGCAGCTGTACAATTTTTCTCCCTCATCGATGTTTCTCTCTCTCTCCCCCCCATCTTCTTTCTCTAAAATCAGTGAAAACATATTTTAAAACATTTTTTCAAATACGTTTTCAATTTCTTGCTCTCCTCCTTCTGGCACCCACCATGGTGCAAATATTGGCATTGTTGTCCCAGAGGCTTTCTGCACTATCCTCTTTTTTTAAATTTGGATTCTTTTTTCTTTTTGCCCTTCTGATTGGGTGTTTTTTGCTTCGTTGTGTTTCAAATTGCTGATTTGATTCTCAGCGTCATCTACTCTACTGTTGATCCCTTGTAAATTATTCTTCATTTCAGTTAGGGTATCCTTCATTCCTGACTGATTCTTTTTTATGGTTTCTACCTGTTTTTCCTGCTATTGAAGTTCTCACTAAGTTTCTTGAGCATCCCTATAACCATTGTTTTGAACTCTATGTCTGATAGTTTGCTTGCTTCCATTTCATTTAGTTCTTCTTTTGGAGACTTCTCCTGTTCTTTCATTTGGTAAGTTTTTCTTTGTTTCCACATTTTGGCTGCTTCCCTATGCTTGTTTTTATGTATTAGGTAGAGCTGTTATGTTTTCTAGACTTGGTAGAGTGGCCTTGTATAGTAGGTGTCCTGAAGGGCCAGTGGTGCAGCTTCCCCAGTCACCCAAGCTAGGCACTCCAGGTACACCCCTGTGTGGACTGTGAGCACTATACTATTGTAGTTGAGCCTTGATTGCTGTTGGCATGTCACTGGGTGGGGTTGACCTCCCAGGCTGGTGGGCTGTGAAGACCAGCTGTGACTACAGAAGATGAGCTGCTGTGAGGAGGTGATCGTACAGAGCAGAACTTGTTTAGGTGGGGCTTTGGTGCTCATGGAGTCTGCTTGTGGAGGTGCTAGGGTTATAATCGGCATGGTCTGAAGCTATTTACTGGGTGCACTGGGTCTGGGGCCTCCCGGAAGAATCAGGGTCAGCCACTGTCTGTGCTCTGCCTGAGGATACCTGGCATGAATACAGAGTGATCTGCAGATGGCTGCTACTTGTGCTGGGCCTAGAGGTGCCCAGGAGAGGCCAAGATGTGAACCAAGGCTGGCTGCTGCTAGTGCCGAGCCTGGAGCCACTCAGGAAGAGGTGCAGGGTACAGAGAGGCCAGATACTACTTGTTTGAGAGATTTTAGGAAATTCTGAAGCATGAGCTGTGACAGGCCATATGTGTGGGAAAGCCACTGGAAACAGCTTAGGGGGACTAGCAAGTTGGGTGGGGCGGGGTCTCAGGGAATCACCAGGGTAGGGTGAACAGAGTGAGACAGGTTGATGGAGACTCAGATATGGCACCTACCTGCCTGCTCTTTGGTGGGGAGAGGGAAGGCTGTCTCAGAAAAGGAGCAATGGCCTCTACTACCAATTTTGTCTGGCAATAAGCTTCCCTCCACCCTCGCTCTTGCCCTGATGCCAGACAGTGCAGTCCCCTGCCTGTATGTCTTTGGTTCCTTTTAAGCTGCTGTCCCAGGGCTAGAGTTCAGAGGGAGTGAGTCTGAGTAAGATCATGTTTGGCCCCTTTAAGGGAAACTGCCTGGGACTCCAGCAGCCCCTCCATCTCATTCAGCCACACTCACCACTGGTTTTGACAGCCAGAAGCTATGGGGACCTCTCCTCTTGGCACTGGAACCCTGGGCTGGGAGGCCTGGTGTGGGGCTGGGACCCCTTGCTCTTCAGGGGTGACCTCCACAGGTGAGAAATCTCTCCCGATTTTTATTTGCCACACATGGGTGTGAGACCAGCCCAATCCCGGTCTCTGCCCCTCCTTCCAGTCTTGATGTGGCTACTTCGTTAAATCCCTAGTTGTAGGACTTCCATTCAGCTAGATTTCAGGTGGTTCGGAATGATGGTTGTTATGTAGTTTAGTTGTAATTTTGATGTGGTTGTGAGAGTATCCTTATACCAATATTTTTAAGACCTCAATCTCCCACCACTTAGTACTCAACCCTGACTGCTCACAATAATTGCCTGAACCCTGCCCCCAGGGATGTTGATATAATGGTCTCAGGTGGAGACCAGGCATAAGCATTTAAAAAATGCTTCTCAGTGAATTCTTGAATTCCAGGAACTAATCAAGTAATTTTTCTGAAATATATCTTTCTAAGAGGACTTTTGGTGCTAGATGGTAAGAAAATAAAACTTCCAGCTTCTTACTTATGATTACATCTTTATAGTCTGAAGGTACATAGTTTATTTCACATTTATTTCAATGTACTCACAATTACTCTATTTTATTATTTTTATGCCAATCCTCAGTAATATGAATTCTGGAATTTTCTTCACTTTTTCATCCGTATTATCAATGCACACAATCTGATTGACTGACATCATTTTTCATTTCCTTTTGATTTGTTTTAGTATTGTGTCAGTTTTAAATGTAGAGAGATTAAACACCAGATCAATGATACTCTCTGCAACAATACTAGANTTCAATTTTTCATGTAAAGAGATTAAATACCTGATCAATGATACTCTCTGCAACAATACTAGAGATTGTCAGAACAATGGAGTAAGTAATTAATTTCAATTTTCATTTTAAATAACATGTTTTGAAAATTCAATAAACAGTTTGGCAATTTACAAATCACTTGAATGATTTCTTAAATCATTTTTATACTACTTGGTGTCATTTAACAGTCTATAATTTATAGCTTTAGCATTATTTTTCTAAGAAACCTGGCCAAACTATTTATTAGAGAAGATAAAGTAGAAACATTTAAGATGATTCTGGATGTAGGAAATGTTTGGTAAATATGTGAGGTGGATATGCTATAAGCAGCACGTGTTACCATATAACCAAAATCATTTTATTTTTATAGAGAGAAGGCAGATACTGGTATATTTACTAGTAATTGCCAATATTTGGGTTTTGCTGTGTGGAGAGTTAAAAAAAGTAAAAAAAATTGATTTGGTAAAAGAAACTAGATGCAATTTTTAAGGTATAGACAATTTCAAGAGAAAATTTGTGAAAATTTATTGAATTTGTCTATTTAATATAAATTTTCTAGAAGGGATAACTTCTCTGGAATAAATTATCTGTTAAATAAGTATAGAATGTTCATGGGTCTCGATTGTAAAACAGCCTTGTACATAAAAAATTGTTCTATTTTCTGATTATTCTAGGTTTGCAACAATTTTAACCATTGCCATTGTAAAGCTGGGTTTAGTCCTCCTAGTTGCAGTCCAAAGCCAAAAGCATTTGGAAGTGTGGATGATGGGCATATATCTGAAACAGGTTAGTGTCTTTAGCTAAGAAATATATATGCATATGCCTTGGACATGGACAGTTGTGTGGTAAAGGCCAAGTGGGTGGAGGTGAGCAAAGGGGGTGGGTGGAGGTGAGCAAAGGGGGAGGGGGGGCACCTGCAATTCTGTCAACATAAAAAATTTTAAATAAAATGTAGAAAGATAATATGCAAGAGAATAAATTAAAGTATCGATTACAAGCTATATTACCAGAGAACTAAAGCCAAAAAACACAGTTTTATTTTAATTGTAAGGTTAAAAACATCTTGGACTGTGTAAGTTTGTACTCCTTTTCCTATATCAACATTAACATTGTTTACTGACATAAAGTATACCCAATATTAGGCACTTTTAAAAGTAGAAATTCCAGTGCGTTAGTTTCACTAGTTAATTTAGATTGATCACTTTGGATTGTTTTATATATTCCTGGTCTAAAAGAGTGTTAGTACTCATTGCTATATTAATTCCACTAGAATCTTTCAGGCTGTGTTTTATTCCTTTTTCCTGAATTATAAGGGTTCCAGTTTAATCTTTTGGCATTCCCTGCTCCCTTTCCCTGGGTTTCCTGAGCACTGTTTTGAAATCAAGGAGGCCTGGATGAGACTGAGTACAACTCGGGGATACTCCCTGTTCCAGAATGTATGGGAGCCCACCTAAAATAATCTGGGTGCAGAAGAGGGCTTGTCCACCCTTACTCCCTTTCCTCTGGAGGTAAATAAATAATGAATCTCCTGGGCAGTCTAATCTGTAGCTTAGATACTAGGGGGTAGTCATACCTAGGGTGACCCACTTTATAGAGAACTAACACAAAGCTATATCAGACTGTGTATCATACCAAAATAAAAGCATGATAATTTAACATGTAACATATAATTGTACACATATGTTATTTTATCATAAATATGTGAAAAATAGATACTTATTTGAAATTACATATTTTCATAATTTTACCTTCACAGTAATCTAGGTTTTCTAAAATGCGCCTCAGAATTCCGCCAGCCTCTACCATTTCTCAGTTCCAAAGTTATTTTCACACTTTTAGGCAGTTGTTACAGCAGCACCCTAATTTTCAGTACCAAAATCGATATCAGTCATGATTCTCCATAAAAAGTGGATGGATGGGGGGGGGG